CCCAATATGCGATTTTACGTATAAAAATAAATCGTACTGTTATAGTATTAAGATATTGCATAAAAAATAAAGTTTGTAATACAAGTTACTTGAATAGTTTGTACAGAATTAATTCTCACGGTTGATTTATAATGAATACAATATCTAGAAAGCCTTACTTTATACGATCCCACAATAAGAATGGGACTTGCCTTAGAGGGGCACTTCTTTGAAGCTAAAAAGGCTATAAGGGTAATACGTATAATGTTCTTAATCAGTATCATCAGATCTAAATCCACTTTAAGCGATCGTCAAATCTAAGGGGTTTAATTTCACCTAAAAAAATAATAAATAATAAAATATATTCAGTATTTGGAACTTATAACCGAGCGGAGTTGCTTTATGGAGATAAAAACTGGCATTGAATTTGGGTAACGTAATAACTAATCCTGTATTTTTATTTCTGGCAGGTTCTCAGACCGAACGAATATGAAGTATAAAATAAGCAAGCTTCCGCCCACAAGGTAAGTTAGCAATAATGTTATTTTTTGCTCATATATATTTTTATTTAATTTACTTGCCTGTATTTTTGAAAAATAATGTACCATTTAACAGAGGCTAAGAAAATCGAATTTTTACTTACTATATTTTTTTTATTAGAAACGAAAAATAAGCACTAATGATAACACCACCTCCAAGAAAAAGAAAAATAAGACCCCAACTATTCTAAATCAAAACAATACAAGCCGAGACAATGTTTTTTGTAATATTCACGAAATTTTAGCTTTTAGGAAAATTTAAATAGTGCATCAATGTATTTTATTCATCCTGTTTTTACTATCGTCAGGTTTGGGTTTAGGGTCTAAGGTTAGAGTTAGTAGAAGAATAGGTCATATACTAAAATTTTAAGAAATTTTATTTTTTTTATATTAAAATGCAAAATATAGTTTTTTGGGTGAAAATTTCAATGGCATTGAATTAATAAAGCTTTGATTATGCAAAAATAATATAATTGTACAAGAAATATTAATAGGCCAATAGTTATGATATCTATATTTACTTTATTACAAATAATAAATAATATTATAAACTCACGGTGTTGTGACAAATGTAATCAAGTAAAAATTAAAGTTTCAAAAAACATTTCGTGATTTTTCGAATGAGAAATACTATTGAACCTCTATACTTAATTAAAAATTTTAATATTTCTCGCAGTATTTTTCTTAGTGTTTTTCTTTCTGCCACTTGACTTTCTGGTAGTACTTTTGGAGAATATGGGGGGTAAGATACGAGGATTACAAAAATACTTGAACTTTTTTGATGAATTAACTAATGGGTCTGAATCATCTTCCTTGGCTTTACGCATAATTTCCACGGTTTTATTCATTAGCAACTAGATCGTTAAAGTATATAAGTAAATTGAAGTATAAAAACATATAGATTAAGAAGATTTACTTACAATCATTTTTAATACTTTATTCATATAGCTAATCAGCTCATTCGCAACAAATTCTGTGGGGTATATCATACTAAAAATCTAGAAGAAAATCTCAGTAATTTAAAAAAGTTAAATCGTAAACATTAATATTGACAGTTACAAACCTTAGTAGATATATAAAGTTGATGATCAACCAATCTAGTAGCATACGAATCTATATGGTTGTCTGAACGGATTTTAGATATCCAAATTATTTATATATTTTTCAATATAAATTTGTAAAATACCAGATATCACAAAAGCTATAAAATTCATATCAAAAATTTCCTCTTTCTTTGAAGTTGGTAGATTATCATAAGTATATTGGATTTCATATATGTTTTCTTGAAGGCTCTTATTTGTGTCAAGATCGTATTTAACTGCATCTTGTATCATGCTATCCTTTGCAATCTCTATATTTCCTATTAATAAATCATTATGAAAGTTAAACTAATCAACATCAGCTATTTAATATCAACCACTTAACATCAGTCATAATCACAGCATGGTGGACAAACCCGAATTTGGATGATCGACATTGTGGCTTAGCCAATTTAATAAAAAAATTTTTTTTAACT